GGCAGCCCCTTGCCTGCAGGCTCCCCAGGAGCTGCTCTGGACGAGAGCAGCCCCTATCTGTGGCGGGCCCCCTGTGGGGCTGAAGCAGCTCCCTGCCCGTGGCAGGCAGGGAGCTGCTCCAGCCCCCTCTGGTTACCAGTTAACAGGAACCGGTAAGCATCAGCCATTTAGGGTAAGGCTTGCTGGTTAACCAGTTGACCTTTCACTAGGGATGTTAGCGTATAGTTGTTTAAATGATTAACCGATATGCCTGGGCTTACAGGTTAATCCTAATGACTACATGCGCTCACACACACACACCCCTTACTGCCTCTATTAGAGGCAGCAAGTGGGGCGAGAAGCAACTAGTCGAGGGACTAGTGGACTATCCAATTAGCTTATGCTTATCGGATACATGACTAGTCACTCACATCCCTAATCCGAACAAGCACACGTGACCTAATTATTGGTGCACAACACAAAACTCACTCTGTTCACGGATGGAAAATCTTAGAAGGAACACTGGTCAAGACCCCCTTTTAATGACTTACTGGGACCTGAGGCTGAAGCCCAAGTTTTCTTTCCACTCGGGCAGTGGGGCTTGGGCCCTCTCTTCCCCCATTTGGAATAGCAGGGCTTGGACTCTGGCCTCCGTACCTCCCACCTATGGCAGCAGGGCTGTGGCCTTTGCCCCAGCCCCCATAACAAAATTACCGCATGAACCAGGGTGGGTGTCAGAAGGGGGTTGCAATGCAACAAAATCTGAGAACCGCTGGAAGGTTCAAGTTAACCTTCAAGCATTTTTCATTCACTACCAACCCTTCACAAACTTGAACTCCAGGATTCAGCTCCTGAACAGCATCCTAATGGGTTATTGCAGCTCGAGCACCCAGGGCTCGGTTTGTCCTTCCTTCTACTCTCCTCCCTCCCTTCCCTTGTTTCTTCCTTCCTTTTAGATACCAACAAAATAATGGGCATCTAAAATTCTAAGGATCTTGCCCATCTTTTTCAAGGAATTGTTGCTTAGTGTAGGTCCAAAATAGGTTCTGTAAGTTAAAAATTTCCAATGCCATTGTTAATAAACATTTGCACGTTTTAAACAGGTTTTGTTTGTTTTTTAAAACAGCCCCTCCTCATGAGTTTGCTACTCAAATGTCAATATGCTAGTGCATGAGAACTTGAGTGTGAAAGTGACTCCTGTTGGCATTGGCTAGACTGAGTAAACTGGAAGATAAACAATACCGGTGAACTTCAAATAATGAAAAGTAAACTAGATTTGTAATGTTAAAAAACTAATCCAGATAGCTACTATAACATGTAAAGAAATGCGGACTTCTTTTTAGTTGGACAATATACCTTTTAAAAGTGAATGTCTTTGCAATGTCTAAGTAAGTGTCTTTTTAAATTAACAATACTCAGTTACTTGGCATCAATTCCATTCTGTTCTTTTGCCAGTAATCAGCTGTCCAGAAAGTAATTCCTTACCCTTGTAGGAAATGATACAACTGTGTCTCAAATTTTGCTGACTCAGCATGGTATGCCAGTAATGAGCCTGTCTGATGGAAAGACCTATTGTTTTAATCCTTCTCTTTCTACATGGTAAGTTGTACATCTTTCCTACTTTTTATGACGGGGTGGGGAACCTTTTTTGAATTGGGGGCCACTGACCCGCAGAAAAATCATCGGGGGCTGCACACAAGTGAGAAGTGCCCCCCCCCCAACCCCTCACTGATGTGACCCCTGACTGGGAAGAAGAAAGACACTCCCCACATTCCCCTTGCACACCAGAGCCTAGAGGGGCCCGGGCTAGTAGATTTTTGTGTGCTCTGCGCTAGCATGGGTTTCCCAATGCTGGGGTGGGGGGCGACGAGGCGGCCCTGAGCCTCGGGGGCCTGATCCAGCCCCCGGGCCTTAGGTTCCCCACCCGTTTTATAAAGTTGGCTGTGTTAGCATGCCAGTTCTGATTTACTGCCCCTTAATTCTGTACTGTGAAAACTAACCTGAGCAGGAACACACTCTAGGCTTGTCTGCTAATTTGCTCCCCATGTACTAGTACGTGGATGACTGGGACCAGTCCCTTTAATGGTCTTAAAATAAACCTTGTAAGTTAAAAGCTTAAATGGAAATTTATTACCTTTCCGTTTTTTCACCTCCTGTTACATATATATACTCTGATTTGTCATCATGAGTTGCTTGTAACTGCCTGCAAGTTGATGTGCATTTAAAGTGGATTGGTCATTCAGACATTCATGATGGTAAAAGGTAATAATATTTGGAAAAAATAATGTAGAGCAGCTGTCAGGAAACTTGGAACAAAAAACAGGACTATGTAGCACCTTAAAGACTAACGATGGTTTATTAGGTGATGAGCTTTTGTGGGCCAGACCCACTTCCTCAGATCTGAGGAAGCTCATCACCTAATAAACCATCTTGTTAGTCTTTAAGGTGCTACATAGTCCTGTTTTTTCTTTCGGCTAGACCAGACTAACATGGCTACATATCTATTACTAGGAAACTTGGATGCACTCTAATATTTAGAGGGTAGTTTGTATGTTTAGATTATGGGTTCTTATTTAAAACAAATTGGAGGGGGGGGGGTGGAAATCTGGAAAAAATTTCATTTTTATTGCCTGGC